CGACGTTTCAGGCGCTCATGAACCTCGTCCTCAAGCCGTTCCTCCGCCGCGGCGTCCTTGTCTTCTTCGACGACATCTTGATTTACAGCGCATCGTGGACGGAGCACCTGCAACATCGATGTCCTCCGGGCGCACCAGCTCCACCTCAAGCGGACCAAGTGTTCCTTCGCCACCCGGTCGGTCCAATACCTGGGCCACGTCATCACGGCGGACAGCGTCGCCATGGACACCTCCAAGGTGGAGGCTGTCCAGTCCTAGCCCCAGCCGCCGAACACGCGTGGCCTCCGCGGTTTCCTCGGCTTGGCTGGATACTACCGGCGCTTCATCAAAGACTATGGCATCCTTGCCGCTCCCCTGACGCAGCTCCTCAGGAAAGAAGGATTCAAGTGGTCGGACGACGCCGAGGCGGCGTTCACGGCCCTCAAGCTTGCGCTCTCCGCCGCCCCGGTCCTACATCTCCCGGACTTCACCGAGCCGTTCATCGTGGACTGCGACGCATCGGGTTCAGGGTTTGGCGCCGTCCTACATCAAGACGGCGCACCGATAGCCTTCTTCAGCCGCCCTTTCACCGCACGACACCTCAAGGTCGCGGCCTACGAGCGCGAGCTCATCGGCCTCGTCCGAGCGGTGCGCCATTGGCGCCCATACCTTTGGGGGCGCGCCTTCGTCGTCAGGACCGACCACTACGCACTCAAATATATGCTGGATCAACGGCTCTCCACCATTCCACAACATCACTGGATTAGCAAGCTTTTTGGCTATGATTTCAGGGTGGAGTTTCGTGCCGGCAAGTCGAACGTCGTCGCCGACGCCCTGTCCCGCCGGGATGGCGAGTCCCCGGTTCTGGCGCCACTCGTCGACTCCGGACCAGCGACCCTCTCGGCGATCTCGGTCCCCAGCTTTCGGCTCTTCGACGACATTCGCCGCGAGCTGGAGGCCGACCTCACTGCGCGCGCGCCGGGACGCGGTCGCCGCGGGTGCCCACGGCGCGGCCTGGACTGTGCGCGACGGCCTGCTTCTCCATGATGGCCGGGTGTTCGTCCCCGACAGCTCCGCGATACTCGAGGACGTCCTGCAGCTCGCCCACACCGCCGGCCACGAGGGGATTCAGAAAACCCTCCAGCGCCTACGCACGAAGTTCTTCATCGCGCACGACAGGCATGTGGTGAGCGACTTTGTCCGCTCCTGTGCGACCTGCCAGCGGAACAAGATCGAGAACCTCCACCCGGCCGGCCTCCTACAGCCACTGCCGGTCCCGTCGCGCGTCTGGGCGGACATCTCCATTGACTTCATCGAAGCCCTGCCCAAGGTACACGGCAAAAGTGTTTTGCTCATAGTGGTGGACAGGTTCTCCAAGTACGCGCATTTTATTCCTCTGGGCCACCCCTACACGGCCTCGTCCGTTGCCCGCGCCTTCTTCCAAGAGATCGTGCGCCTCCATGGATTCCCGGAGTCCATTGTTAGTGATCGCGACTCGGTGTTCACCGACCACGTTTGGCGGGACCTCTTCCGCCATGCCGGTGTGAAACTCTGCATGAGCACCGCCTTCCATCCCCAAACGGATGGTCAGTCCGAGGTGGTGAACAAGACGATCGCCATGTACCTGCGATGCCTGACTGGGGATCGCCCCCGGGACTGGCTCGACTGGTTGCCGTGGGCAGAATTCTGCTACAACACCGCCTACCACTCCGCCCTCCAGACATCGCCGTTCCAGGTGGTCTACGGCCGCGCTCCGCCCGACCTACTCCCCTATGTAGGCCAGGCGCGCACGGAGGCAGTCGACGTCCTGCTAGCCAACCGCGATGAGTTCTTGACTGAGGTACGCGCCCGTCTTCTTTAGGCGCAGGAACATGCTCGCCGCTTCTACGACGCCAACCACCGTGCTCTGGAGTTCGCGGTTGGGGACTGGGTGCTGCTGCGCATGCTTCACCGTCACACGCAGTCCCTGGTCCCTGGCGCCCGCGGCAAGCTTCGTCCCAAGTACGCCGGACCCTTTGAGGTGCTGGAACGCATCGGCACGGTCGCCTACTGCCTGCGTCTGCCAGAGGGCGCCCGCATCCACGACGTCTTTCATGTCGGCGTCCTCAAGCCGTTCCGGGGTACTTCACCGACATCCGTTCCGGCTTTGCCTCCGATACACCATGGCCGTCCTCTCCAACAACCTGAACGTGTGCTGTGCTCGGAGCTTCGCCGCGGCGTGTGGCATGTCCTCGTCGCATGGTCCGGCATGCCGGCCTCGGAGGCCACCTGGGAGCCTGTTCCGGCGTTCCGTGAAGCTCACCCCTCCTTCCAGCTCGCGGACGAGCTATTCCCCGAGGGGGGAGAGATGTTATGGTCGGTACCACATATGAGCCCAGGGACAGGCGGCAAAGTGGCTGAACCAGCCAGTGAGCGGTCACCACGCTGGCCTTGCCAGGGTTGGTCTCTTTTGAGTTATAGAAGATTTGGGTTGGTTAGGAAAGAGTCAATTAATTGTTAAGTTTCCTATTTGTTAGCATAAGTTGTTAGAGTCCTCAATGTATAAGTGTCAAACTTTGAGATCAATACGGACTAGCCTGGGATTGTGTCTTTCTTGACACCCTTGGGCGCCTGGCGCCTCCCCCGTTCTCTCCTTCCTGCATAAACCTTAGTCGCCAGTCACGGCTCCAACTCGACGCCAAGCTCCAGCGCATCCCTCATTCCCCTCCATACGCCCTGAGAAGCAACGACCGACACCGTACCAGTATCATATATAACTTGCTCTTAGCACGAATCTGACTCGCGCATCAACACGCAAAAATAAGTAATGGGTGCATACAAATAAAAATATGTCTAAAAGCACTTCCAATGTGCATTTTTATTTTTACAACTTTCAGAATTTATCATTTGGACAGTGTTTTTCACGTAATATATCATTTTTATATAGCTATAAAACTCTGCTTGCAATTTAACTATTTATTTTCCTCAAAATACACAAACTGTGACTATTTTCAAACAAATTATGCCTAGAATTTTCAAACGAAGGGACTAGGGAGTTAAGGGAGGCCAGGAGTTTTCCTAGCCTGATGAGTGCTCCATCCTGTTGCGACTGGCTCGACGTCGCTTGCACCTCCTGGCGAACCACCGGAACATCAGCGGTGGCTGTTGGTCTCCTTGCGCCCAGACTGATCGAAGCACAGAACAAACAGGAACTCAGCCTCGGACCGCGATTCACAGATTTGAAACCAAAATCACAAGAGAAGACTCACGCACGAGAGAGGGGCATCCATCCTTTGTGCAACCGCAACCGCAGCCTGATTGCCTGAAGGCCGCGAGTCGCCGGAGGCCTTGCGCAAGATTTCGCCCTGGAAATCGACCCAGCGGTCGTGCAGCTGGCCAGGCCTGCCGAAGAAAAATGAGGGCTTCTATTTGCAGGGAGCAGTTTTGGCTATTGATACAGATTCTTCTTGAAATGAACTAGAATCACTACGAAACACATATTTAGATGATTCCCGGTCCTAGTTCAAAATAGAAACGTTCAAAATAGAAAACATTTCGAATCACTGCAAAACACCTATTTGGAATATTCTCATTTCTAGTTCAGAAGTCAAACAGAGAAATGTTTCTACGTGTTCCACAGAGAATCGCTAGGGATTCTAGAGATCCATTTAGAATCCAAAATGTTCTAACATCCAAACACACCTTTAATATAATTCTAATCTATCTATTCCATATTATTTCGTAATCTAGTCCATATGATTCACACTTGCGATTATTTTGTTTAATTTTTTTTCAGGACAATTTTTTTCACTCTCACAGTTCAGAAAGCCATAACTAAGTGTCGTAGTTATGACAAACAAAATTGTATAATACTCCATCCGTTCCTAAATTATAAGTCGCTTTGACTTTTTGAGATTCATCCATTTGCTATGTATCTAGATATTATCATATCTAAATGCATAGCAAAATGGATATACCAAAAAAATCAAAGTGACTTATAATTTGGAACAGAGGGAGTACTACATATGATATCTATAGCCAGTACAAAGTCAACAAACCAGGAAATAACTCATTCCTAGCCAATCAAAAAAAATCTTTTAGCAGGAATTCAAACATGAGCAGCTGCCCCTCAATACTTGAAGATAGCCTTGGCCAAAATACTGAAACTAAATCATAACAATGCATCAGCAAGACAATGTGTATTTTGAGGATTTGGGGTTCGATAAAATATCAGCACATCCCATAGAATCTACTTGCATGCACAAAAATGTTATAAATCCATGGCAAGCACAAAGTTTCAACATAAACACATATTTCATTTATTCATAGAGGGTCACCCAGCTTACAGCACTCAACAATCTGCCTGTAAAAATTGGGATCTGGCAAAAACCAACCATACAAGGTTGTCAAGGCAAGGCTTCTAGTGTGCGCCTCGCAGTGGCCAAGATCACTATGAACACCAGGCATCCCAAAGAGACTGTAAAAAAGATACGACCCTACATGACCCTTACACACCATGGAGAACATCACACACAACACATCAAAACTCAAAACAAACTCAAAAGTCCACAACCAAACAAACTGCACAAGTCCACAGACGCTCCAGCATGCATCAGCAGCCCTGGAAGCGATGTCCTACACCAACACCACTGGATCGCGGACACCTGCAACTTCATAACCAGGAAGCAGTAAAACGAAAAAGGACTTGGACACTATGGCAACCTAAAAAACCTTATGACTATAAAGGCAAGGACCAGTGTCTGGATAGAGGGGCAGAATGCCAGTGATGGCAGCCAAGGCTCAAAAAACAGATAAACCCCCTGAGAGGTGATCTGTGAAAAACGAGCACTTGGCTAGAAAGCACCCCCTAAAACAACTGGTCCTTGAACAATGCGGAAGCCCACCATCATGACTCGCATGTGACTATGCAAGCCAAAAACCTGAAGATCATCTGGTTGCGCTACTGCTACAGTCGTATATCTGCATCTGGAAGTGGCTCCCAGTAGACAAGAGCCCTTCAAGCAATGGACCATCTTGTCTGCCTATGCAAGGATGTCGCACCACCAGAGCTTCTTCTTCAGCGATGCAATGTTGTGGTTGCCAATCATGTTGCAGAACTGAAGATTGAGGCCCTCTAGAGATTGGCCAAGGTTGCCCAAGAACGGCACACTCTTCTGAGTAACCTTAGAGCAACCAGACAGTGAGAGAACACGGAGCTTGAGGTGCCTTGCAGATGCCAGGATGGCAACACCATAGTCACTAACCATGCAGTTTGAAAGATCAAGCTCGGCAAGCTCGGTGCAGCTCTCAGACATGGTGAAGAGGCTAGCATCTGTTATCTTGCTGCAACCCTCAAGGCTGACTTTCTTCAGAGATTTTCCATGTCCCTTCACCAGGGAGGAGACAGCCACATCTGTGATGTTCTTGCAACCACTCAAGTCAACCTTGATCAGACCAGCTTCAGAAGACTGGATCAATGGAAGAAGCCCATTGTCAGTGACCTCACCAAGACCACTCAGGTCAACCTGCTCTAACTGAGGGCAAATCATCCCCACCACAGCCAAGCTTGCATCAGTGAAACCTGGGCAATCCTTGATTGTAAGGAAACGAAGTGATTGGCAAAGAGGAAGTTGTGCAGGCGCAGAGCAGATATCCTTGATCCCCATGCATTTCACCAAAGAAAGAGCCCTGAACTTCTGGCTGCAGTTGAGGAGGAAAGCAAGAATACCGACAAGAGTAACCCGGTTGCATTCCTCAAGCTGCAAGTTCTCAAACACCTTTGCTGATTCTGTGAACGCCTTAAGGCCAGCATCCGACACATGTCCACACTTCCTGAGGTAAAGCTGCTTCAAGCTAAGGCAGAACTTGGCAATAGAAGCGAGCGCAAGATCAGTGACTCCAGGGCAAGAGGTAACACTCATGCACCTCAGATTCTGCAGGCCAGCAGCATTAGCCATCACCCAGAAACCCCTCTCACCAACAGTAGCAAGACGAGTAAGTGTAAGGTCAGTGACAGCCTTCCCATAGCATCCAATCACAGCAAGCGAAGCATCAGTTATGTTCAATCCCTGGAGCCGGATCTTAGCAAGTGAAGCGGTAGCAGAGCACACCAGACTGGAGATGCCTTGGTCACCAACAAGAGGGCAGTTCTTGATGTTCACAGCTTGCAGCTTCACGCAGCTGCGGCCAATGGCCCTCAGGCCCTCATTGGCAACACCGGAGCATGCCTCAATGGTCAGAGACACCAAGTTGGGGCACCCCTGCGCAACGGCGGCGAGGCCCTTGTCTGTGATGAGGGGGCATCGAGAGATATCCAGACGCTCCAGCGAGGGGCACCCGGCGGCGATCTCGGCGAGCCCAGCATCGGTGATAAGAGGAACATCCCAGAGCGTGAGCGAGCTGAGGTTGAGGCTGCCGCGTGCAACCGCCGAGAGCCCTTGGTCCGTGACGCCACGGGTCGGGTGGCTGCCGCGGACGGCGAGCTTCTCCAGCCCGCCGCGGGATCCGGCGACGACGGCCATGGCGGCCAGACGGACGTCGGTGGCCTCCTTGCCCACCAGAACCCTGTCAACGGCGCACCGATCCGCGGGGGACTCCTCCTTATCCTCCTCCTCCATGACGAACTCCTCGTTCAGGTCGGGCAGCGACGGGGTGTCCGCCGCCGCCGCCGCGGCGGCGGCCTGGCCGAGCTCGGAGGTCCGGATGCTGCCGAGAAGCGCGAGCCAGCGGCGGGAGACGCAGGCGGAGGCGCCACGGCCGCGGCCGCCGGGCACGCGGCGCAGGATCTCGAAGAGGCACTCGTCCGGGAGCGCGTCGAGCGACGGCAGCGGCAGCGGCAGCTGCTGCCTCTGCTTCTTGGCCGCCCTCACGCACTCCGCCGCCGCGGCAGCGACCGCGGAAGCGGCCACCAGCGTGCGCTTCCGCTGCTGCACGGCGCCGCGGCAGAAGAGCCCGGCCAGCTCAGCCGGCGCAGAGACGAGGCACCCGCCATCTGATCCATCCAAGAAGCAACCAATTAGCCATCAGAACGGAATAACAAAGGTAATCGCTTCCTCCCAACATGAATCTCAAATCAATCGACGGAACTCTGAAGAAAAGAAGAATAAAGAAGAGGTCTTTCGCCCTCTCACCTCCGTAAGCGTAGAGCGAAGGCATGTCTCCGAATCTCCCAAGACCAAAGGGACCCCTTCCCCTCCCACTCGAATCAGGACCAGAAGAACGAACAAGAGCACGGTCACCGCCGGATCTGAGGCGCCGGAGAGGGCCGGAAGCATTTACAGCCCGCCGGAGCAAGGAAAACGGAACCCTATCGCCGCCGGCGACAGGGAAAAAAAGGGAGCAAAGGGAGGGAGGGGACGGGGAACCTCTGTGGGGGGAGGGGAGGAGACGAGCCGACCTGGAGAGGAAAAGAAGACGGCCAAGAGATGGCAGAGGAATATATAGGCCCAGTCGTTAGAGAGAGAAAGGGAGGGAGGGGACCGATTTTTTTATTTTTTACCCTTTTTTCAAAACAATTTCACAAATACGCTCCTTAGGTAAGATTTCAAAATCTAAACCTTTAGCTCGACGCTATCGTTGTTGACGCTGAGCTTACACGTGGCGTCGAGCTTTTGGGCTCGAAGCAAACGTAACGGTGATTTAGCAGGCACCTCGGCGCCAGTAACCCTGACGCCAAGCTCGGCGCCGTAGATCTTGGTGTCGAGCTCGACGCCAGGGTTACTGTCGTCAAGCCTGTCTTACGTATGGGCCCCAATCCTTTTCTCTCTTCCTCTCCCTCTTTCTCGCCTCCTCGCCTCGCCAAGCAGACTCACCTGCGTCTCTGTCCACCAACCATCATTCGCGCTGCCAAGACGCCTCGCCGCCGCGCCACACGCACCGCCTCACGCCCTTCACCGCCGCCGCTCCTCCGCGCCGCTCGCCCGGCCTCACCCCTCACGCGCCACGCCCCTCACTTCACCGCCACATGCGCTCGCGCTTGGCCGCCTTAGCCACCATGCGCGCCGTTGCGGATCGCGGATGCGCGGCCCCGACCGCTTCCCTTTCTTCCGCCATGCACGCCTCACCGCGCGGCCCTGCGGCCCATTGCCCACAGCCGCCTCTCGCCGCCGAGCCGCCACGCCATCACCACTGCCCCACCTTGCCTTCCTCAAGCGCCTGACCAAACCGCCACCCACGCCCGCTCATCGACTGACCCACGCCTCGGTGTCATGCTTTCTATCGACGTCCGCGACTCCATCATCGGATAGGTAAAAATGGTGAATTTACAATGTGCGTACTTAGTTAGCTTTGATTGTAGTGTAGTAGTTTTGGCATTTGTTATTTACTGTTAATGTGATGACTCAGGTAGTTGATTTAGTTAGTGATCTAGTGAGATAGATATGTAGATAGAAACATAGATAGATAGGTACATAGATATAGTTAGATAGCTACTTAGATAGGTAGTTATATATTTAGTTAGCTAAATAGGATCTAACTATTTAGTGAGTACACTGTATCTATGTATGTAGTTATTATCTTATTTACTTAGTTTATAGTTAGAAAGTACTCATTAGGTACTATCTATCGTCTAATTTGGACTAAAGGACATGTGTTTTGTTACGTGTTTGAAATAGATGGACAACCTAGTGACCATTTATCATGGAGGCACCGTTGAAAGCGATCGCTATAGATATTAAGACATGGGTTCATGAGACACAGAACAAAAGCATGAAGGCAGGTAATGAAACCTAGGTTGTTGTCATCATTAGCCTACACATTGCAATTACACGAGGGACACTTGTTTATCTTCATCCAAAGAGCAAACAACAGGACAGAAAGAGCCAATATAAACACATTCTTCCAACAACCACGCTTACCAATAATTGTAGGAATTCCTTCACAGCAGTCATCTGGGAGCAGCTGGGAGGGGAGGGGAGTTGCTACTCCCGGGGATGCTTTGAAATCTCTAAGTGCCTTCTCATAATTTTTGTACTTCAAATACCTTGCATTCTTGAATCCAAGAACCTGTTGACTGCATTCATACCAGGTTCTATAGATTCCAGGTTGCTTCCCATAGAAAACCACATAGCAAGGTGCCATTTTCTGTAAAATCAGAATTGTAATTAGCCTCAGTCCTTTGTGAATCATGAAACAAGGCATGAGTGTGACATTGAAGATCTAGGGATTAATGAAAGAAACAACCCATGATCCTAAATGCCACACCGATGGCTTGGTTCATCTTGTTGAAATGAAACAATTGACATCATAGGCTAAAAAAAGTGGCATCAGCTCTAGAATTTGGTGCTGCAATTCATGTAAGTACTTATCATAGGTGGCTGCATATGTAGCAAACAAGTCTAGAAAGCAGCAACTTTGAGACTACAAATAAGTAGGAACAGAACATCAAGGCTGCCATGGAACCCATCTGGCCATCCATTCGCTGTCGTCATCCAACTGGTGTTGCTACCAAGAACAAGCCATGAAAAAACAATAACAACAGGAAATAGTTGTGCAGCCACCTTATTGTTTTTCCACATTATGCATCATAGGCCAGATCAGAAACCCACTTTAGGCACCAACTCATGGAAACACAGGCATCAAATACAAGAAATGACAGAAATATATGAAAGCATGAAGTGAAGATTCAAACAAGGCCATGTTGTTGCTAGGGAATGGATGTGTCCCATGGGTTCAATGACACCCATGAAAGCACAATGTAATATAGTCCTCCCAATGCAATAGGAACGTAAAGTGACAAATATAGTAGCAGTAGTAGTAACCAACAGAGGTTACTAATTAATACATCAAATTTGTCTTCAAATAAAGGTTCAGCCCACAACAAGTAGACACTTAAGTGAACTACCCAGTTACACTTGCTCAGATATAGTTAGCCACACTCCAACTATGCAAACCCAAAAAGATAGGTGTTGGTCATCCATCTACCATGCACAGGAGCTACACCAAAATGGAACCCAAAAGAGAAGAGAGTGGGTGAGGGAGGTGGAGGAACTATACATCTCAACAGTCAACCTCCTCCTTGCCTTGTTGTCCTAGATAGACAGAACTATATATAGTAGTTCTTGGCAAGGTAGTTCCTCAGCCAAATGTCCCTACGACTGATTGTCATGTTTACAAAGCCCCTACCAAGGGCCTTGTTTTCCAGCAGGTAGGTGTAGGCAACAATGAGAGCTTCAGTGGTGAAGCCAGGCATCTCCATCACTACAAGATAGAGGTCAGGATCCACATGTGCAGGCCTAGTCTCTCTGTGGCAGAACCTCCTAAGAAATCGGGCCCACGTGCACCTATCGATGTCTCAACAGACCTCAGATAGCGTACACAAGTTCCCAACAACTTAACAGATCTGTCGGGTGTCCTCGGGAAACCCGAATCATCCATGAATCTTTTTCAAACAGGATCCCAATCACAGTCATTGCAGATTACAACAGTTTTCAATATACATACCAGAGATTATAAAGCGGAAGACTTTAAGTTTTAATATTATAAACCAGTTGTTTCAGACTTACAAAACCATAAGTGTCATACAACCATAGTAGCGGGATAATATTACATTAACATTATTTATTTCACACAAACTAGTGCCTTGTCCAAAGGCCATTCATCATTCCTCATCGTCATCGACTTCAAACACTGACATGCAGCAGGGACCAAAACAAGCCTACGCATGCGACTCACCTGCAACAAGGGTTAACAAACCCTGAGTACAAAAGTACTCAACAAGACTGACCCGACGAAAAAGGGCGAAGGTCTTAGGGATCCAGGTGTTGGGTCAAGGTAAGGATATAGCAAAATTCAAAAGTTCTTTGCCAAAAGCTTACTATTCTTGATCCTAATTTCAAGTTTTACCCCTAAGTACTTTAGTTCAATATCTCAAACTAAGTGTTCATATCCCATGTTCCAATCCTTCTCATTCCATTCCTTTTCTCAAGTTTTAGTAATTCACCAGTCCTACATTGCTTCTGTAATGAATCGAGTCTCCATATCCGCGAAGCACCGGCAATTCGAATTGATTCAAGTCCCAGCTGGAGATTCCTTATCACACGACATATGTAGAACTTAATCTTGCATATATCAACCTTGCTACCGGATCCTCCCATACTAAGCCGTCTCCACGCCACCCGAGAGCACAGCACGCCTCAAATCTGGCCACATTCAAGCCACAAGGGTACACGCTACTCCCGCCATCTCACCACTCCTAGTGCGTGGGTATTCGTCTTAGTATCGGATTAGCTGAAGTAGGCTTACCAAAGTATGTGACCATTACTACAAAGTGTCTTATTCAGAAGATCCACAATAAGTGGCCTTTAAGCGACATAGTCGGCAACATTACCCAACATTCAAGATAAGCCACCCGACTAGTCTCTAGTTCATTCTATCTTCTTTCTTTCTTTCTTTCTTTGGCCAGTATGCCATCTTTGATTGTATCGAAACTTTTACTTTGAAAGCCTACCATAAAGCATACTAAGCATTCTACGCCTTTGTAAAATGAAAGCATCTTCAAGGATGGTAAACAATTAACAAGGTAGGCAATGCATCAAGTAGGTAACATTTGAAGTAAATCAACTTAATGCAATAAGTAACATAGGTGATAAACTTTTCAAAGTAAACAAGGTAATGGTTTAATGCATAAAGCGGGCTTGCCTTCGTTGATTTATCTCGGGTTCCGGATCAAGACCACTATTATCGAATCCCGTGACAACCGGGATGCTTCCAGAACTTGCTCAACTAGAATCGGTTCACTCTCGGATTCTACACTTTAAATAACAAAGATATGCTTCAACATGATGATAATGTAAACATGATGCTTTCATGGTGCATGAAATATAACAAAACCTTGAATACAACTTTCCTTCACATGATGCATTACAAGCCAAACTAACCAAACCATATTCATGAATCGGATGTGACCACGCAAGATCGACCACCACTCAAGCGAGCTCTCCGACCACTTTGGCGAACTCTCCACCACTACATTCTCTCCGACCACTACGGTGAACTCTCCGACCACTACGGTGAATCCTCCGACCACTACTCTTGAAACCCTCTCGGTCACAAAACATGATCAAAACAAGATCAAACACTAATCAAACACTTAGGGTTTGCTTTTATTTATTTTTGAATCAATTTGGAAATAAGCCCAAAAATAAACTTGTCCCAAATGACCTCAAAAATTTATGTAAGCTTCCTCATAACAAATTAGTGTACCAAAACAAATTTCTAAAGATTCAAAGACTATTCAAAATCGAAGATATAAAATTTCAACGTTTTCTTCTCCTTCCTCATCATCACCGACAGCCCGTCCCCACCACGTGCTGACCCATACATGTCACGATGCCATCACCGGGCCGGCCCCAAAATGCGCCGAGAGGTGACGCTCCCGGGCGAGGCGTACCTCACCCAAATAATCTACACACCCTCAAACCCATCCCCGTCCTTGAATAGCGTATGCACCGAGAAGATTCCACGCCCCATGGCGGCTCGAGCATGTCGGCTCACAAGTAACTCGGCAAGAATGCGGTAGAGTCAAAAGCGAAGTGCACATCACGTTCAAGAGCTCACCACAGCCACGCCGGTGGGCTTGGTGAAGGCGGATAGTTAATGGCTTCGCCACGCCGAGGCGATGATGACGCGAGCTTCGGTAGGCTCGGGGAAGAAGTCATTTGCCGGCGACTCTGGCCAACTCAAGCGGTGTGAGCAAGTCGTAGAGAAGCGCAAGACTGAGGCGATCGCTTTGGCATAGCTGGGCACGACGGAGGCTGCTCGATGGTGGCAAATTTCGTGAGCGCAGTGAGGTCGTCGGCGACGAGCAGAGGCAGGAAAAGAGGAGAGGGACGACGATGGTACGGCTATTTATAGCCGGGAGGAGCTCGTCTAGCTTCGACAGCACACGATGAAGATGCCACGGCGATGATGACGTGCCAGGACGCGAGGAAGCGGCGCAAAACACTCGGCAGCGGCAGCGGCGTGGCGCCGGCGGTAAGCGGTGATGTAAATCTTGATTTTTTCTATTATTTACAGAACTGCCACTGAGTCTATTTTTTTAAATTACTCCCAAATTTTCTAAAGAAGTTGAAAATCTTCAAAAATGAAAATTGCTCAACTTTTTAAACTCTACAACTTTGCTGCAAGGAACATTTTCAAATTCTGCCTCCATTTTGAAATTTCAATTTGGGGTGCATTTGAGTATTTGAATCATTTCAAAATTACTCCAAATTTTATATGTAAACTTGAAAAACTTTGAATACCAAAGTTGATCCACATAAAATAATCTTTAACTTTGTTTTTTTCCTCAACCCCAAATTCCACATGGATTTTGAATTAGTCAAAAGGGGCAAAAAGGACTTTTATAATTTGAATTTGAATTCAAATTTGATTTGTCTTTCTTTTACTTTAATTTTGATTTTTGACCAGTACATGGCCCATTAGGGTTATTTGAGTCAAATGACATATGACCTCACATGAATTTTGACCCTTGTAGTCATGATCTTTATTTAGGATTTTGAATCACATCACATGAAATAACAACATTATCAAATAAACCTTATTTAGTGAATGCATTCAAAATTTTCTACTCTATGAATGCTTTGCAATGCATATGATGACATGTCAAATTTTAGTGCTAGGTCGAAACACCAAAGGTGTTACACTCTCTAAGTGCAGAGGCTACATTGTTGACAGCATCAGTCATGTTAGTCATCATCAACATCTCTTCCTCACTGAAATTACCCCTCTTTCTCTTTACTCCCATAGTGAAAATGAGTAGCTCAGTTGCCTTGCTGTCCTCACCCATCTCAGGGCTGCATTTAACATCAGCAGCAGTGGTGAAGCCCTGGCCCTCAATCTTTGCAACAACACTGTCAACATTGTTCACCCCAAGTGGCTCACTAGAACCTAGGGCAAACCTACTAGTGGCCATGGAAGAACCAAATATGGCCTCCATCCAAGTGTAGAACCTGATTGGGATATTCAGGAATTCAGCATCCTTAGGATGGTCCTGCAGTCATGTGTGCTTAATTAAATAAACAGAGAAGAAGAGAATAAGTGGCCAGAAGAGAAAGAGAGATGATAGAAAGGCAATTGACTCTTTTTCTACCTTGCAGTGGCCTATGTAGTGCTCAGGTTCAAGCATCATGGCATTGTCATCATGACCAAATAGTGCACCACTAAGGTCCTTCAACTTTATAACCCTAGCCCACTTCTGCCTCCACTTCCTTAAGTGGTTGTACACTTGAGTAGGGCTCGTAGCCTCACCACAGTAATCTAGTAGAGCCTTTGCCACATAGTTCACATCCTTATCCTTGAAGCACTTGTCAGCCCTACTGCCATCAGAAACTATTTGGACCATCCTCCTAAGGACAAACCTAGAGGTGTTGTTATTCCACCTCATGGGGGGCCTAGCACCACCAGCACCCCCTAGACAGGCACTACCACAGGTGCATCAGCCCCCACATCCACCACCTCAGGTGCAGCAACAGCCACTGCTGGCATAGCAGCAGTTGCCCCAGCACTAGCCACAGCAGCCATATCAATAGCTACCACAAACCTAGCCATCCTAATAAGGTCACCATACATCACATAAAGACATGCATCAACAATAGATAGTATAGGAAGATGAACAAGACATAGAAGATGAACAACATATATAAGATTGGTCTTAGTCATGTCCATGAAAACATAATCATCTTAAAACAATTCCACATTGATCTCAGTCATGTCCAACAGTTATTACACCACATGAGTTCCATATCCAGGGTCTACAAACTGAAATTATACAAGAATGCAATGCATGAATCAAACCCTAGCAATACCCCTACCAGCCCACATGTCATTGTAAATGCCATCCCTCCTATTAGACATGCCAGTGGAGTCCTAGGATAGCATGTCTCCCATAGGCTGGGTTTCATCACCCTCAGGCTGATTGCCTAGGAAGCCCTCCTCTTCTAGCACCACTTCATCCATGCCAAACCCAATGATCTAATTATGGAGAATACAACAAGCCAGTACAAGCTTCACTTGAGTCTTGTATGTGTGGAAAGGTTTGTTGTCTAGGATACGAAATCTGTTCTTGAGTGCACCAAAAGCTCTCTCCACTGTCACCCTAAGGGATGAATGCCTTAGGTTGAATGGTTCCCTGGCATTGGTAGGATAATTGCGGCTCCCAAATTCAGACAAGTGGTACCTCACCCCCTATAGGGAGGGAGGAAACTAGTGCGGCAAGCATAGCCAGCATCTACCATGTAAAACTTCCCTACAAGTGGACCAAAAGATATATTACAGTGAAGGTGTGTGGCGAGTTAAAGGACAAAAGTGTATGGACTATTAATTTTAGTTACCTTCAGTAACTATGAACCCATCATTCCTGTCAATTACATTAGCAAGAATGAGTGCATCATGGGCAGAGACCTCCCAGCCAGCTAGGACATAGGTGAACTTGAGATCAAAGTCCACAACAGTCATCACATTTTGTGTGGGGTTGTGTTTCCTACCCCTAAAAGCCTGCTGCATGTGTCTAGACACCCTTGTGAAAGGTCCTTGTGTGGTTTTGGTAATTGAGTGACAACCTAGGTGGACTAATTGTGTTTATATGAGATATACAGGTGACTAGTCCATAGGTACATGTGTGTGAGCAACATATGCCATGAAGGTGAAAATGGCTTGGAGATGTTGCAAAGCTCACACATGTGATGATGAAGGAGCTTATTGCACATGAGACATGACATTGAGTCATGTGATCAAGGTGGAGAAGATCAAGACAAGACTTGACTTGATGGACCGGTTGCAAGCGTGAAGGGCAAGTCGGAGGCTTTGGAGCAATGGACCGCGTGGCGATGAAGCTTGAGCAAGACTTGGCACCGATAGACGAAGGCAATGGTGAAAAGCAAGTAAAGTCAAGATCGATAAACCAATATGATCACGTGATGATATGAAGTGGATCATATCATTGTTGATCATGTTGGTGCATGTGTTGCATCAATATTGGAGGAGATGGAATGGAATGTGCAAGGCAAAGGTATAACTTAGGGCATTTCATTTCACCGGTCATAGGTGTGTAGAGAAGTTGATGACCGGGTTTAGGATAGATGACCGTACTATCAAGAGGGGCAAACTTATTTGCATATCGGTCATCTAGTGCCACTCAAGTGATCTAACTTTGCATCGTCACTAGGATTGAGTGGCGTGGCAAGTTGAGTGGCTAATCCTTTAGAAAATGATTGTGAAAATGCTAACACACATACACATGATGGTGTACACTTGGTGGTGTTGGCACATTTACAAAGGAGATGAAGTTGGAGTTGATGTGGATCAACTCGGTGATGAAACGGAGGTGAGAAAGGTCCCACAGAGTGGACCGGACTCTGGTCATGCTTTGACCAGACGCTGGCTATGTGCGTTCGGTTAGACCTGGAGTATGGTGATGCAGGCAGAGTAGAAGCTGGAGAGTGACTGGACGCTGATGCTACATCCGATCTCGATCGACCGGACGCGTCCGATCGTGAAATGTCGTTTTCGAAACCTTACTAGAAATGACCGGACACTGGAGGCTCAGCGTCCGGTTAGTTGAAGCTGCTGCGTCCGGTCGTTAGATGATTGTTGAGATCGGATGAACAACGTTTGAAGGAGGGGACACGTGGCGAGTATCACGTGACCGGACGCTGAGGTCCAGCGTCCGGTCGATTGGACCGGTGTGTCCGGTCATCCCAACTTTTACCCAGTGAAGGGGTAACGGCTCTATTTGTTCGTAGGGTTATAAATAGAAGCCTTGGTCGGCCTTGGACCGGTAGCTGAGCACACTAGAGCCTTGGTGGCTTGTGTGGTAGTGCTTGGGAGCCCTCCATCTCACATATGCTTGATAGTGATCATCCGATTATGTGAGAGAGCAATTCTAGTGCAATTGCATTGTGAGGTTGCATCGAGTGGCACTAGGTGATCGAGTTGCAAGCCGGTGGTGCTTGTTACTCTTGGAGGTTGCCACCTCCTAGATGGCTTGGTGGTGGTCTCCATCGAAGCCCGCAAGAAGCTTGTGCGGTGCTTCAGAGAAGAGCTTTGTGAGGGGTATTGTGCTCGCCCCGCAGGAGCCGCGAAGAGTAACTCTAGTTGAGCGTGTCATTGAGCTACCATCACTTTTGGGGTAGGTTCTTGTAGTGCCCAACGTGCGGGCTTGGCGGGTGATGCCAATTAGTCGCCGAACCACCAAGTGAGCAGTCGATACAACGGGGACTAGCGTGTTGGCAAGCACGTGAACCTCGGGAGAAAAATTACCGTGTCAACCTTGTTCTTCCTGTTGGTTTGCAATCCCCTTTCATAAGCTTGTATTTATATTTTATATACATTATGCTTGTGTAGTTACTCTTGTAATTAGTTAGCTTGTGTAGCTTACTAGCTACCTTCTTGCTTGTGTAGCATAGAAGTAGCTCACTTGCGTGGCTAATTTGGTTTGTGTAACCTTGTTAGTCACATGGTTTAGTTTGTGTAGCTAAGTAATTGCGCTCTCTAATTTGGCATTGGTTGCCTTGTTATTGAGCATTGTTAGTGAGCATTAGGTGGCTTTGTGCTTTTGCTTACTAGCATGTGTAGGAGCTCCCTTGTTGTTTAAAGTACTAGTGGCATAGGTTTGTGTGACCTTACTTCTAGAATTAGTTAGGTGAGCTCTAGCTAGCCCGGCACCCTTGTTGCTTAATTAGTATCTTTGGAATGTGCTAAAGAACATAGATAGAGGGGTGTAGTCTTGGCTAGACCGATAGTTTTAATTCCGCACTTGTTTCGGTTAGCCGACGTGATTAAGTTTTTAGAAAGGGACTATTCACCCCCCTCTAGTCCGCCATCTCGACCTTACAAGTGATATCAGAGACCGGTCTCTCATTTGTGGTCTTCACCGACGCAGGAGGATGGCGTTAAATGGGCTAGATATTTGTGAGACACATATTTTTTATAGCACAAACTTTGCACTTTGGAAAATCACATGCTTGATCATTTTCATGCAAAGGGACCTAAATTTTGGTGGGTTGTCACTAGCGGTCTCACCCATGTCTTGGATCATAGAAATCTCACCAAAGCTCAAAGAGTTGTCTATGAATTTGATGCACATGCTTGTTGTTATCTAATGGATGCTTTGAGCTTTTATTTGATGAAACATGTAAACATCAAGGGAACCGCTCGTGAGATATGGGAGTCCATCAAGAAAACGTTCGGTGATTCCTCCACATGGGATGATGGCAAATTCAAGAAGGAGGATGAGCCTAAGAAGGAGGTGCATGAGTGTGTCGAGCATGATCACAATTTGGTGATTGTGAAAGATTGCTCCACCTCATGGTCAAGTGATGATGATGATGATCGATCCACTACAAGTTCACTTGACAAGGTTGATGATGATACCACAAGTGTTGCAAGTGATGATGCTACCCCATGCACACTTGATGGTGATGTTGGTTCATGCTCAAGCTATGATGATGATGCTACTACAAGCTCTCCAACTACACCACATTGTTTCATGTCACAAGGTGACACCAAGGTATCAAATGATAATGTGGTTGATCATGTTGATTCATATGATGAGTTTGTTAGTAGACTTGCTAGCATGACCATGTCTTTAAAAAATGAGAAAGCTAAAACATTGAAATTATAAAATGAAAACTCATTTCTAAAGAACTCTTGTGAAGAACGTAAGAAATTACTTGATGCTTATAAATCTTCACATGATGAGCTAAAATTGAATCATGAGACACTACTTGCATCTCATGATGAATTATTAGAACAATATGCTTCTCTCATTAAAATGTTTACAAAGAAACTTAAAAATAACGAGAGCTCTTCACATGGGTCACATGATCAATCATATATTATTACTAACCCTTGTGATGTAGGCAAGAAGCATGTATCCACCTCTTGTGATGATTTACTAGATATGCCATGCTCTTCACATATAGATGCTTGTTCTACTTCTATGTCTTGCGAGACTAACCTTTTGAAGGAGAACAATGAGCTTAAAAATGAAGTGAAGAATTTGAGCAACAAGTTAGAGAGGTGCTACAACTCTCAAGTCACCTTTGAGCACATGTTGAAGACTCAAAGAAACTTTAGTGACAAGAGTGGAGTCAGCTTCAAGACTAGCAAAGTCAATTATCAAGAAAGCCGCAATGACACAAGTGGCATTGGATTCAACAAGAGCAAGATCAAGGGCAAAAGATGGGGCAAGAGAAGATATAAAAGAGAGATGAAGAAGCAAGAACAAGAAAAGCTTTCTCATTTCATGTGCTTCAAGTGCCATGAAGTGGGACATCTTGCAAATGGTTGCCCCAATGAAGAAAAGCTCAAGTTGAAGAAAGAAGAAGAGAGGCTAAGGCATGTGAAGTGTTTCAAGTGCCGCACTTGGGGTCATCTTACCTCAAT